CCGCCGAACCTTCTCCTCCCTCCCCGCCACTCCAGCGCACCACCCTCCCGCCAACTCGCCCGCCGCCCTCGCCGCCTCGCCCGCGCAGCTCTCCGCGGCGCCGTCGCCGAGCTTCGCCGCCCGCCCTCCCCGCCCGACGGCGTCGCACGCCACGCCGCCGCAGTGCGGCAGCGGCTCCGCCCCAATCTCGATCGGCGCGGCGAGCAGCGTTGCGCGCGGTAGCCGGTCGGGTTCGTGCAGCCGGTCGGGTTCGTGCGGCCGGCAGGGCGGCTCGCCGACCAGCAGCGCGCCTCCCTTCGGCGCGTTCGAGCCGCCGTTTGGGACGCCGTCAGCTCGCCTCTCCCCGCACCTCTCTCCCCACCTCTCTCCCCACCTCTCTCCCCGCCTCTCTCCCCGCCTCTCCCCGCGCCTCTCGCCCCGCCTCTCCCCGCGCCTCTCCTCCTCGCCGAATGCCGAGCTGCCTCTCCAGCTCTCCCTCTCGCCGCCCCTCGCCGCTTGCGCCATGCTGCCGCCGCCGCTGCCTCGCGCCTCGCCCCTCATTTGCGCGGGGCGAGACGCGGCGGCGGCGCCTCCATGCCCGGAGGCATCCTCCTCCCTCCCGGCCGGGCGAGGAGCGGGAGCAGGGGCGGGAGCAGGGGCGGGAGGTGGGGCGGGAGGAGGTGGGGCGGGACGAGGTGAGGCGGGAGGAGGTGGGGCGGCGCTCCTCGACGGCGCCCCGGGCCTGGCGTCGCTCTCGGGGAGCCCTCGAACGGAGAACGCGTGAGCCGGAGACACTATCACTTGTGCACCGAGGGGGGGGGGGGGGGAGCCCAGGGGGCGACGGGGCGACGTCTCCGACACGGCAGCTTGGAGCTGACCCCGGGAGAGAGAGAGACGAGCGATGGCACGCCCCCAATGACCCTAGACAGACATGACGAGCCGACAGCGATGCAGCGGCAGCGAAGGCGGCGAGGAGAGCCCGCGCTGCAAAGCTCCGCCGGGGGGCAGCAAAAACATCGGCGGACGGGGGAGCACGGGACACGTCGGGGCATAGGAGCCAGGGGGGTGGGAGAGTTGAGTCAGGTGCAGCAGCACCGTCTCGGCAGCGAGGCCGACGATGGCGACGGCGGCGACGTAGGCGAGACGGTGGCGAGGGTGGCGACGGTCACGATGAAGGTGGCTTGACGAAATGGATGACGCCATCGCGCAACATGACATCCCAGCGCCGCTCTCGCAGGCTGTTTTTGACGGTTTCTACACTTTGTTTTTGTTTTCAGTCTAGGGGGCCCGACCCCCTCAGAGGCGGCGGGCGGGCGCCCACTTACCGAGAGATCAAAAACGCTCGGCCCTGATGCGGGCGGGAGCTTCAACGAGAACGACATGCAGGCGTCCCGCACACACACACGCACGCGAAGAGGGGGAGTTCGGTGTAGTGCATCAATCAAAATTAAGTAAACACGGTGTTCGCACTCCAAGCATCGATCGACGAAATACCGCAGTTCTCAGTCGCGAATGGCCCCATCAGCTCTCCGACCCGGCGCAGCGCCGCGACACCACGCACGGCGTCGCCTCCCCTTCCGGCACGAGCGGCCCCGAAGCGCGGCGCGCGCGCGAGGCGCGCGCCTGCATAGAGCTCTCCGACGCGAGGGCCGAGCTAAGTGTCGTGCTGCTAGCCGACGGAGTGCTGCTCTGCCGCTGCGGCGCCGCCTTGGTCTGTCCGAGCGGCGTGCTGCGCAGGAAGTACGAGAAGAAGCAGTCGACGTCCTCGAGGGTGAGGTCGTCGCGCGAGGAGATGAACATGTCGCTCGGCAGCAGCTCCGGCCTCTCGTGCCACTCGGCCTGGCACGGCCCGCCTCGCGACGGCGCGGACATGTTCTGGTTGACGCCCTGCGAGACGAGCACCTGACGAGACGTCGACCACGCGTCATGGGCACGTCAGTCAACACAGGCGCTCGCTCAGTGCTCGACTGACGAGATCTACTTCACCGGCTGTGCACCTGCACCGCGTACGAGGAGGGCACCTGCGGGTCTGCGTTCTTCTTGTGGAGCACGCGGAAGACGATGTGCGAGAGGTAGCCGACGTCGAGCTTCTCAAACTTGACGCGCGCCTGATCTCGGGTACTCTCGGGTACTCTCGCAATCTCGGGTAATCTCGGGTAATCTCGGGGAATCTCGGGGAAGCCGAGCTTCTCGAGCTTGACGAGCGCCTCGTCACTTGCGATGCACTGCACGCCGTAATCTCGGGTAATCTCGGGGAATCTCGGGGAATCTCGGGGAATCTGCGCCTCGTCGCTGAAGATGCACTGCACGCCGCGGCTCGCCCTCTCCCCCTGGGTGGCGGCGAGCACCTCGTGGCCGTAGCGCAGCACGTTGAAGAGGGAGAGGATGTGCGACTCGGACCTATGGACATGTCTCGGACATGTCTCGGACATGTCGCTGAAGAGGGAGAGGAGGTGCGACTCGGACCTATGGACATGTCTCGGACATGTCTCGGACATGTCGCTGAAGAGGGAGAGGATGTGCGCCTCGGACGTGAAGTAGAGGCGCGTGCGGACATGCCGCGAGCTCGACTTGACGTCGGTGAAGGCGGACGGGTCGAGCTCGTGCACGCGCTCCTACGGGGAGATGCGGGGGAGGTAGGGGGGAGGTGTGGGGGAGGAGATATGGGGGAGGCATGGAGGAGATGTGGGGGAGATGTGGGGGAGATGTGGGGGAGGAGATGTGGGGGAGATGTGGGGGAGGTGTGGGGGAGGTGTGGGGGAGATGTGGGGGAGATGTGGGGGAGGAGATGTGGGGGAGATATGGGGGAGGTGTGGGGGAGATGTGGGGGAGGTATGGTCCAGCTCGTGCTCGCGCTCCTACAGGGAAGGCTCTCGAAGAAGCCTCGAGGGAGGCTCCCCGGAAGGCTCTCGGAAGGCTCCTCGGAGGGGGGCGTCGGAGGCATGCGCTCCTATGGACATGTCTCGGACATGTCTCGGACATGTCAGGGGGGGGGGGCGGTCGGAGGCACGCGTCTCCTCCATGTGTCGTTCTGCGTCCATGCCGGCAAGCATGTCCTGCAGGTGGGCGATCCTCCTCAGCAGCTCATTACTAGGCAACCGCTCCTCCGTTCTCAAGCATGTCCTGCAGCAGCTTGGCGAGCATCTGCCACGCGATCTGCAGGCCGACCGTCACCTTGTCCTCCGGCTCGATGCCGTACTCCTGCGGCACCACGTACGACGCGAGCGTGCGCGAGGCGCGGAACAAGCGCGGCAAAGCCTGCAGCAACGCACCGAAGTGACGGGACCGCCTCGGAGCCCTCTCGCACCCTTCTCGGAGCCGGCGCGGCTAGGGCCTGCAGCCCGAGGTGCTCGTTGTGGACCATGTCGTACAGCGCATTGTCGTAGATGTCTGGCACCTTTGAGGTGTCAAACACTTCCTTGCGCGAGCTGTACAGGTCCTTGTGCAGCTGCGCCCACCGGCCGAGCTGGAGGTGCGGCGTCTCGCCTAACTCACACCCAACTCGCCCCTAATTCACCCTTCCTTAGGCCGAGCTGGAGGTGCGGCGTCTCGCCTAACTCACACCCAACTCGCCCCTAATTCACCCTTCCTTCGGCCGAGCTGGAGGTGCGGCGTCTTGCCGTTGGCTGCGGAATGCCTCGCCGGTGCCGCAACCTTGGAGGAGAGAGGGCCTGTGAACAGCGTCTCTTCACACCTCTAGCTGTGAACAAGTGCCGCAACCTTGGAGGAGAGTTTGCCCGACGAGACAGCCACGTCGCGAGAAGGGACTCGAGGGATGCCGATGCTCGACGCGCCTATTAATTCATTGCTCGATGAGTGATTCACTATGAACTAGCAGCCCGAGGATGCCGATGCTCGACGCGCCGCCGCCCGCGCTGCTCCTCGCGCGTAGCTCCCGCACGAGCTCCTATTCACATCTCCCCACATCTCCCCACATCTCCCCATATCTCCCCGCGTAGCTCCCGCTCGAGCTCCTCGACTAGCTGGTGCAGCCGCTCGAGCGCCTGGCGCGGCGCCTTTGCATTCTCGCTCAGCCAGGCGGAGAGGAGGGAGTCGGAGGCGAGGCCGCCCTCCGCCGCCGTCGAGGGCGCCTGGCGCGGGAGATGTGGGGGAGATGTGGGGGAGATGTGGGGGAGATGTGGGGGAGATGTGGGGGAGATGCGGGGGAGGTATGTGTGGGGGGGGGTATGCCTGCGCCACGATCTGGCCATGCTCGAGTCCGCGCTCGAGACCGCGCGGCTGCTTGCTGCTCGGCGAGGGGGGGCGGGACGACTCTTGCGCGGCGATGGCCCCTGCGGTAGTCTGCGGGCAGTTGAGCAGCTGCGAGATGACCGCCTTTGATCTGTCCATGCCGAGGCGGCCCTGCTCGTTCGTGTCGTCGAGCATGGCCGTCGCCGACTTGTCCTTGGAGACGAGCGACGCGAGGATGGGGGGGAGGGCGCCCTCGAGGTCGAGGAAGCCCTTGGTGAAGGCGGCGGCCGTCGTCTGCACGCGCCCCTCATCCGAGGAGTAGATCTTGAGGTCGTGCCTGCAGGTGGAGTGACTCTGAATTAACCCCTCATCAACCGCAACTCGCCCTTAATTGATTGAGGTCGTGCCTGTAGGTGGAGTGCAGCCGCAGCACCCCGCCGCCAACCTCGTCCCCCGGGTAGAGCGAGTTGCGGAACTTGGCGCCAAGGTACTCGGCCTGCGCCTCCCCGAGCGCCGTCAGCTCGCCTCCCCACTTGAGGATGAAGAGCGCCTGTTCACAGCTGCAGGTGTGAAGAGACGCTGCTCACAGCTCGCCTCCCCACTTGAGGATGAAGAGCGCCTCTACTGCGACCTCGCGCGAGGCTGGGGGCGCGGCGCCGCCGTCCGCTGAGCCCGCCTCCGGTACAGCAGCCCACTTCGAGGGCTTGATCTGGACCTTGCGGTTGATGCCGGAGAACGGGTGCGACTGCAGCACCTGCTGCACCGTGAGGAGCTTGTCGAGGTCCTCCTCGTACCTGGAGGAGGAGGCACCGGCAGTTACTACCACACAGTCAGCGTGAGGAGCTTGTCGAGGTCCTCCTCGTGCCTGTCCGAGGACGGGTCCGCCGCGCGCAGCTTCTCCTCCACAAGCCGCGAGACGATCTGGGTGAGCTCCTCCATGGCGCGGATCTTCTTGATCTTCAGCTCCGCGCGCGCGTCCTTGTTCTTGCCGAGCAGCGCGAGCAGGCGCGGCTCCGTGGTCTTCATCTTTAGCTTCTGCTTCGGCGTCCGGTCGCCGTGCCTCGTCAGCCCGATCACGCAGAGCAGCTCCGACTCCTCGGCGCCGGTCGGCGCTTGCAGCGAGGCGCGGGGCGGCACCACGTCTTGCAGCACCGAGTCTCGAATTGTCCGGTTGGGCGGCGGCACCTTGCGAGGCGTGCAGGGGAGGGGACGGTGGGCGGTGTCTGCTTGTGGAGTGGCAGACGGCTGAATGGCGGCGTCGGGCGGCGGCACCTGAGGCGCGCCTTGCGGGTGCCTCTCCACGTGGTGCGGGCCTGTTCACAGCAACGGCTGTGAAGAGACGCCCTTCTGCCGGCAGGAGCGCGTCTCCACGCGGTGTGCGCTGCAGGGGTGGCGTGGCGTGGCGTGCCGGGCAAGCACTCGACATTGGTCCGGCGAGAGATCCTGACTGAGCAGGCTGGCCAGAGGCTGGCCGCGTCTCTCGTCCAGACATCTACCTCCCGCGCAGATGGCGTGCAGGCAGTACTGGCGGAGGAGGTTGGCCGAGTCGGCCCAGAACTTGTGAGAGTCCTTGACAAAGGACCAGCCGTTGACGTCGCAGACGTACGAGCGGCCCTCCGATCGGAGCAGGTCGAAGCCGCACAGCGTCTGGCCAAAGGCGAGGACCACCTTTCGCGCGATCTCCTTCTCGTCGTTGTTGAGGATGAGCGGGTAGCGCAGCTCCTTGCCGCGCGCGTTGCGAATCACCTTGCCGTCCACGACCGGCGACTTGCGCGCCTGACCAGACGCCACACGAGCATGCGTTCACACGGAGGAGTGCGAACGAGGACGGCCGGCTAGCGCGCCTCGGCGTGCGCGTACTCCGGGCCGACCGCGTACACCTGTCCATGTGTGAATAACAAGGCTGTGAATGGAGGTGTGACTGCGGGTGGTCGGTGCTGGGCGTACTCCTGGTGTGCGTGCACCTTTACGTCCGTCCCCTCGGTCTGAAGCAGCTCCTCGTAGATGTACGCCTCGCCCGACGTGGCGCGCGACTCATGCTCGTCGGGGTAGAACTGGGACGCCTTGTCGCCAACCTTGCGGAAGAGCCGCTTCGAGCCGCCGCCGGCGGAGCGCGGGTAGTAGATGCGGATGTCGTGGTCCTCGCCTGAGCTTGGCTTCTCGACGATTGGCGTCTGCTACCAGTTAATTCGCTGATTAGCTAATCACTTCCTCCTCGCCTGAGATTGGCTTCTCGACGATTGGCTTCTGCAGCCTGGCGCCGTCCACCTCGATGTAGTCCTCCTATGGACATGTCTCGGACATGTCTCGGACATGTCTCGGACATGTCCACCTCGATGTAGTCCTCCTGCTCGTCGACCACAGCGCTGCCCGGCTCGAGCACGACGTGCTTCGGAACGGGCACCCCTACCCCCTCGAGCTTTGCGTAGATGGCGCGCCGGTCGAAGAGCACCTTAGTAATTCATGAACGGCGATATTGACTCGTTAATCATTGACGGCAGTGATTAATTCAGGCGCCGGTCGAAGAGCGCCTCTTGCATCTGCAGGTCGTTGAACACGAACGGCTTGCGGAGCGTGGCGTACGCCTGCGCCTTTTGCAGCGGGAAGCCCGCCGAGAAGAAGGCGATCAGCGCCTAATCCAGGAGGAGTTAATTCACTAATTAATCACTGACTCACCCGCGGAGAAGAAGGCGATCAGCGCCTAATCCAGGAGGAGTTAATTCACTAATTAATCACTGAATTAATCACTGACTCACCCGCTGAGAAGGAAGGCGATCAGCGCCTCGCACACGGGCCACGACGAATTCTAATCAGTCACTACTCAATAACGGATAACTAATTAATAACTAGTTAACCCGCCTCGCACACGGGCCACGACTCGACCGGCTCCTCGAGCAGCATGCGCTCGTCGAAGGACACGACCGCGAACTCGGCGTGCCCGTCGGCGCGGAAGGCCTGCAGCCGGTCCTCTTGCATCTGTCTCTCGGCTACACTCGGCTATCCCTCGGCTCTCTCTCGGCTCTCTCTCGGCTCTCTCTCGGCTCTCTCTCGGCTCGGCTGCCTCTCGGCTGCCTCTCGGCTGCCTCTCGGCTGCCTCTCGGCTGCCTCTCGGCGATCTCTCGGCGATCTCTCGGCGATCTCTCTCCGCGGAAGGCCTGCAGTCGGTCCAGCGTCTCGAGCATCGGCCCCGACTTGGCCTTCTTGGCCATGCAGCAGACGCCAATCGTGATTGGCCTGCGGCGGCGGCGAGTGGCGGCTCAAAGTGGCGGAGGCGACGCAGGCCGCTGCTCCGGCGAGGGTCGCAGCGCCCGTCAGAGATCCGGCGCGTGACTGTGCTCGGAATGATCGACCGGCGAAGGTGCGACTGCGCAGCGAGCCGCTCCGCGCTGTGCTCCCGCTCGGGCGCCTCGGGCACGTGATGAGCGGCCACTGCGGCGCTCGGTCCCATGACCCGCACAAACATGCGGCCAAGCTGGCCAGCGATCGAAGCGGCGCGGGGCTCGGTGGCAGCGTGGACGTGGCGGAGTAGTGCCGCAGCGCGCGGGCCAACGACCCGCGTGAGCCAGCGCCGGAGGAGGTGGAACGCGGCGAGGATGCTCGCGTGAAGTCGCATATACATGTGTGGATGTGCTATATGGCTCGAAAAAAGAAATAAGCAGGCCGCCGGATCGGAGGACGGCTCCAAAGGCCGATACAATCGAAGAATTCTTTCTAAGCATGGCCCACCCCCTCAATCAAGTTCGGGACGCACGCAACAGTCTACAGGACGTGGCCTCGAGGTCGTGTCGAACGGCACGTACATGCCAGGCGCGCGCGTCCAGCAGCGCGTGCGAGCTGGTCCTGGAGGAGAGACTCGCAACGCGGCCGTGCTGGAGGCCACTCCGTACCAACTAAGCCGCTTCCTCGAGCGCAACATCAGCCTCTGCAGCGGCACCACCAACATCAGAGGCGTGAGGTGCGCCGGCGCCAAGGTCGATGAGGTCAGGATCTCGGGCGCGGGCGAGATTCCGAAAGAAATAAGCAGGCTTACGGAGCTGCGGGGCCTCTGGGTCATCTCGCACCGTGTGACAGGCACATTGCCTAAGCAGCTTGCCGATCTCACCGCCCTCGAGTCATTGGTCATCAACGGCCCAAGCGTGCGCACCCAGAACCCTCGTATCGACAAAATCAACAGCAGGCTCGGCATCTCCGGAACTATCCCATCCAACCTCGGGCGTGGCGGGCCCTGCGTGCGTCAGCGCGCGCAGCCTCGCGCCCTGCAGCGTGGCGACCTTCTGCCGCGCATGGGCCCTCCGAATTGCCACTTCTCCACGGCCCTCGTGCTTCGAAGCACCAGGATCTCCGGTACGCTGCCCGCCCACCTTCCGAGCATCGCTGTGGGCCAGCTGGATGTGCGGGAGAGTCATCGGCTTTCAGGCACGTTGCCCTCCTGGCTTGCGCTGACGCATGGCGCACGGCTGACTGGGACTAGCATTTCGGGCACGCTGCCGGCATCCGTGGCCAAATCGGCGGGGCTCTGGCAGCTTGAGTTACCAGCGAGCGTGACAAACGCGGCGTCTTTCCCCTGGCTGCTCGCCAACACCTCGTCGGCCCACCGACCACCTCGGCCGAGCACGCACGTCACCCAGCTCGTTGCGGAGGCTGCTCCTTCGCCGCCGCAGTGCTGCATCCACGGCTGCTCGGCGATGGGAAGCTGCCGGGGGGGCGTCTGCCATTGCACGGGAGTCGACTCGCCAGATTGCTCAGCTCACCCTCCCTCGACGTGCTCCGCTAGGAGAGGCGTCTTCGTCTCGAGAGACGGCGAGGCGGTATCCGCAAGCGCCCCAACCGTGGCCCACAGAAGCGGCGGCACGCCCCTCGAGCGCGGCTGCGGCGGCCTCCCCCTGTCCACCATGCACAACAGCTATCGGCCGATCCTCTATGAGGCTCTCGATGCGTTCCTGCTGCAGCTCCTTGGCAGCGATCTTCGCGCGGGGTCCGTCGAGTGTGCAGAGCTAGAGTGGGCTCCCGTGTATGGGTTTCGACTGCACCAGAACCTCGCCGTCGAGTACCTCCGTCGGCTCACCGTCCAAGTGGAGGCGGGGAGACAGGCGGACCCATCCGCGGGGCGTCGGCCTCGGCTCCACGCCGTGCAACTCGATCGCGGGGTCTGCGATTTACCCCCCTCGCTCTATCAACCGGGCGACGTGGCGCGACTGCCCCGCTGCGCCAAGCTCTTTCCCCACGCCCTCCCACGCCGCCGCGCGCCACGCCACAGGTGCTGCTGTACTATGGCAACACCGACTGCTTCGCCCCCGGCGTGCGGTACGTTGTCGCGCCACCGAGCGTGCGGCGAGAGCTGCAGGTCGACCGTTGCACCAGCGCTTCCGCATCCGGGAAGTGCACCCCCTCGCGCTGGCGCGTGAGCTCGCCCGTGCTGGTGCGAGTGGCTCGTGAGACGTACAGAGGGGGGGCGCTACACGCTCCGCGGCGGCGGGTCCTGTTTTTCCGTGGGTCGGCGCGCATCATCTCCGAGGAGGCGGAGTGCTACCAGCCGAATCGCTCGCTCGCCGGGGCAGATGCGACGTCCAGGTGTCGTGAGCTGTACAGCATGGGCATCCGACAGGCGGTACGGCAGCAGCTGGGGGCGAACCCAATCGCGGACCTGGGTGTGCCGCGCCCTTTGCTGCGCCCTCTCCCACCGCCAGAGCAGAGTGGACGCGGGTAACCGACATTGCACCCCTGTCAGGCATCGCCGGCAGGGCGATGAGCGGCGGGACCGCCGCGTACCACCAGGCGCTGCAGTCGGTGCAGTTCTGCCTCGTCGCGCCGGGCAACGGCTTCGATACGCGCCTGGTCGACTACATGGCTTGCGGCTGCATCCCGGTGATTATCCACGCGGGGCTGGGCGTACGCGTGCTTCAGCCGTACGAGCCAGAACTCGACTACGAAGCATTCGCCGTCACGCTGCCGTTTGAGTCGATCCCTGAGCTGCCGGCAATCCTCGAGCGACTGCCAGAGGACGCCCTCCGCACAAAGAGGGAGCGACTGCGGGAGGTGCACCGCATGTTTCTCTGGGACGCCGCGCACGGAGGGGCGTTCGAGGCGGTGGCGGAGGCGCTCCTCAAGAGGAGCAGGGAGGGGACGGCCTCTCCGAGCCGCGCCGGCGTCGCCGAGAGCTCAGCGCTGCCGCCCGGGGCGCGCTGCTTCTGCGTCGGAGGCGCCTGCGGCTCAGGGAGCCCGCGAGAGGCGGGGGCGTGCACGAGCGTGTCGGGCGTGAGGGGGTGAAGCCGGCGGCACCGAAAGCTACTCGAACTAAGTATCGACGCCAGGGCTCGTGACCGTCGTGAGTCCGTCGCCGCTGGGTCGGTCTTGACAAGGATTCGTAAATATTTGCCGAGGTCGCCTACAAGGCTAAGCCGTTTTACGAAAGCTTCGTCTTCGACGGCACTGCCGTCTTTTTACTAATAATGGTGAAACTGTGTTGGAGCCAGCGCGCGCGAGCACGGCACCCGGCGTCAAATTCTTTTTTGCGAAATCCCCAGCCGGCTTCGAGCGCATTACCGGTCACATTACCCATCGCTGGAGGTCGATGCTGCGATGTCTTCTGCTGTGCCTCGCTGCGAATGCCGCCGCTGCGATGAGCATCGGCGCTGCGAGCATCGGCGCTGAAAGCAGCCGGCGCATGCTGCTGCTGCACGGGTCCGGCACGAGCGCGGGCGCGTTTGTAAACTCGCCGACCGCCTCTGGCGCAAAGAGGTTTCTCGCCGGCGTGCCGCGCCGCGCTGATGCCGGCGCCTCCATCCCTCCCAACTGGCAGTACCACGCCCTCGACGCGGGCACAGACGACGGCAGCTGGTGGACGGGCGACGACGGGAAGGGCCTCGAGAAGTCGGTCGCCTCTGTGGAACGAGCGCTCGTCGAGCAGGCTGCGGTGGGGATCGTAGGGCACGAACAGGGGGCGACCTTGGCCGCGATTGTCGCCGCACGCTCTGCGCTGGGCGAAGGGCCGCGGATCAAATTTGCGGTCCTCTGCGGCGCTGCCATGCCGCCACCGCCTCATGCGGCGCTGCTGCACCGGCTGAGAGACGACTCGGCGGCGGGCGCTGTGCAGACGCTGCACTGCATCAGCCCCACCGACTCGGACTCGGCGGCTGTGGCAGCCTGCTTTGGTCAGGAGGCGGAGACGCTCTTCCACGATGGTGGCGGCGCAATGCCGGGTCCAGGCTGGTGGGAGGAGACGAGAGGCTACCCTGAGCGCGTGACGGGCGGCCGGTTCTGGTGCACGCAGGTCGGCCCCGCTCGCTACTATGCCACAGGCAACATGGTGATGTAGGCCTAGGCGGGCAGGCGAGCGCACACTCACACTCTCGCTCGACACGTCTTGTCTCGACGGTTGGTTGTGAGGTTGTCTCACACGCTCGACACTGATCACTGTCTGTGATACAGCTCGATATCTCAAATCATTTCATCCGGAAACGTTAACACACCGGAACCGCGTGGTGGACTATCTTTGGTATATCGCAAGCTGAGTAGGCTCGCTCTCTCACATGGGCGCCAGCGGCGGGAACTAGCCGCCTCAGCCAACAACTTTAGCCCTGCCAATCCGCTCGCGTCTCAGGTCGGGCGGGGACCTGTTCCTACCTTTTCACCCATCTCCTCGTGAGGGCCCATTTTATTATTTACTTATTTTTCAGGTCGCTCGCGTGGTGCCTTGGTCACCACAGCGCCTCCAGGTTGTCCGCCTCCTCTCGCTCCTCGACCAACAGCCGCAGCGAGACGGCCTCGAGCCGCTCCACGACCTCGGCCAGCTCCTGTTGAAGCTTCGCCTCCCTGTCCGCCACCGCGAACTCGACCAGTCGGCTGTCGCCGTCCGCCGCCTTGACCTCCTCCACCTCCTCCTCCAGCAGCAGGGCGGTCAGCGCGCGCAGGCCCTCCTGCTCCTTCATCGCGCGGGCGTGCTGCTGGTGCCGCACGCGGATCCGCGACACCGCGCCCACGAGACCGCCGCCGTGCTCCTCCTCCTCCTCCTCGGCCAGCCTCGCGCGCAGCCGCTCGTAGTCCACTGCCGCCGCGTCCGACGGCTGCGAGACAGGGTTGAGCGCGTGCGCCTCGTGCGCGTGGATCGTCGCCTCGAGGTGCTTGGCCGCCTGCTCGGCCGCCAGCATCTGGTGAGCGAGCGAGCGACTCGGCCCGAGCTCGCCGCCCGCGACCTTGACGGCGGCGAGCTCCTCAAAGAGGTCTGCCACGGCATCGCCAAGTTCCGGCTCGAGAGCTCGTGCCCGGTTGGCGAGGTCGCGAGCCTCATGGCGCGACACGTGGTCCACAGACCCCACCATCCTGAGCCGCTTCAGCAGCGAGCGCCGAGCCTCCCACGCGAGCTCAGGAGCCAACCGCTCGGCGTGCCGTGCCAACGCAGCGAGATCTGGTGAAGCTACTCCTCCGAGGCGGTCCAGCCCTGGGCCCGCCCTCAGCACCTTGGTCAGCGTCTTTGAGGCCGGCAGCGCAGCGCCGAGCGTCTGTGCGGGCACCGCAGCGGCGCTGAGCGTGCTCAAGCGGCGAAGGAAGAGCATGGCACGGCTTGGCTTCGGTGGAATGTGAGCGAGCGTGCCACAATCGTGTCCAATTAATAAAGAATTTTGTAGAACTCGCCGCTCAAAGCCGAGGGCGGTGTATACGCCGACGCTGCCGCCGAGCGCGCCAGCAGGGGCGATGGCGCCGCCGCTTCCGCGCGCAGCACCGCCGCCCCCGCACACGGCGCCGCCGCCACCGCCTGGGGAGGTTTCGTCCATGAGCGGCGGCGGCGGGGGCGGCGGCGAGGGCGGCGGCGAGGGCGGCGGCGAAGGAGACAGCGAGGGCGGCGGCGAGGGGCGTCGCGAGGTCGGCGGCGAGGGCGGTGCCGCCTCGCCCGCGGCCTCGCCGGCCGCCACCGCCGCTGCTGACCCTGCTGCGGTGGCAGAGGGCGGCGGCGAGGGCGGCGGCGAGGGCGGTGGCGAGGGGCGTCGCGAGGTCGACGGCGAGAGCGATGCCGCCTCGCCCGCCGCCTCACCTGCCGCCACCGCCGCCGCTGACCGAGGCGTCACCGCCGCCGCTGATCAAGGCGCCGGTGAGGGCGGCACCGCTTCGGCGGGCGGAGCGGCAGGGGCCGAGCTGCCGCCCGCCTCGACATCGGGGGCGCAGCCCATGTCTGACCCCGCTTCAGCGGCGGACGGCGGCGTGCGGCCCTCTGCATCATCGGAGCCGGCGGGGGTTGGCGCTCGGCTTGAGGGGGGAGCGGAGGTAATCATGCTCAAACCCTCTGGCCGCCCGCCAAACAAGGGGGGGGACAACCGCACCGACCTCGGCTTGTCGAGCTTCGTCTCCTCCAACGCAGCGGGTACCTACGACCTCCACGTGCGGGAGGGGGACGACATCTCCTACCTCAAGATGAGCGGCGGCGGCTGGGGGAAGGTCGCCGCCGACCAGCAGCGGCAGCTTCGAGACGGCGACCAGCTCTCGGTCGGTGGTCTCAAGTTCTACGTCCGCATCCCGGGGGGAGGCAGAAAGCGGGCTATGGCGGAGGAGACGCCAGCCGTGGACTGCAAACGTGCGTGCACCGGGAACCGGGACGAGGTGGACGCAAAGATGACGTTCTACGCCATGAGCCTCGCGCAGCTGCAGCACGAGGCCGTCTCGGCCGGGGGCCTCGAGGGAGCGGACAAGGCGCAGGCGCTCAAGATGCTGCGTGCGGGTGCGATCGGCGTCACGATGGCCACCGCTGCGACGCTCGACGGCCGGCCGCTCGTTGGCGCGAAGCAGATGGCGGGCGTCACTGCCAAGGCGGCGAAGGAGGCGGCGATGAAGCGGCGGCGGGAGGACAAAGCGGCCTCCTCGGCGGCTGGGCGAGCGGATCGGCGCGAGAGGCACGAGGAAAAGCGGGCGCGGCGCGAGGTGGCGGGCGGCAAGCGCGGCGGGCAGGGCAAGAGTGCGGGCGGGCGGGCGGAGCGGCGCACGTACAACGGCCGCACCGTGGCGCGCGCGGCGCGGCGGCAGGAGGAGGATCGTCGGAGGGGCAAAGGTGATGGCGGCGGCAAGGGCAGCGGCGGCAGTGGCAAGGGCGGCAGCGGCAAGGGCAGCGGCGGCAAGGGCAGCGGCGGCAAGGGTGGCGGCGGCTACGGCGGCGGCGGCTGCGGCGGCGGCGGCTACGGCGGCGGCGGCTACGGCGGCGGCGGCTACGGTGGCGGCGGCTACGGCGGCGGCGGCTAGAGTCAGAAATGTGGTCCTTGCGCGAGGGGAGC